CGCCGTATCGCTTCGTGAGCTCAGCGAACAGCCACTTCTCACGGCCCGCGTATCTCTTTCCGTACACCTTTGCCATCTTCAGGCGTTTCTTGTCTACCTCCGTGAAGAAATCAACCAACAAGGTCTCCAAAGAGACTGGCTCTGCAGCTACTTTCTTGCTCTCCGTTTTAGCTGGCGAAGCTGGACGAGGAGGCTGATCTCCAGACATCGGGGGAGGCTGGAAAGAAGCAGAACCTAGTGGCGGAGAGCTGGACATAGTAGTAGCAACATTTTCTCCGTCGGCGGTCGGCGTTTGCTCAGATTGCGCAGTCTGGGTACTCTCGTTGTATGGCGTAGCTAAGTCCAGAGCGGAATTTTCACTCATAGCTTGCGGTGGCGGTGAAATAGTAGCTTGATCGGCAAAACTAGGAGGAACAGCAGGAGTCACGTTCTCATCGATCGTTTTGGCCGCATCGCCAACTGGGTCAGCTTCCGCAGGTGGTGGAAATGAAGCTACAGGTGGCTGCATAACGTGCAGATCATGGACTACGTTCCACTCAGCACCATTTGTACCCTCTGCAGAAACATAACTCGCTTCTTGCTGATCGAATGAATTGTCATCGACCGGAGCCACCGTGACAGTAGGAGCCATAGCCATAGGGACAACTTGTACAGGAGACTTCATAAGGGGAACTTTTTCTTGGCTCTGCGCGCCGTACTCTCCATCTTGCGTTTCTGCCGAAGACAAGTTTTCATGCTGCGGGTATGGTGGTGACGGCATTGCTTCAACATTAAACACTGCTCCAGGATACTGTGCTGCAAACTCCTGTTGCGCAGCCACAGCAGATTCATTCTGTTTCACCGGTTCAACAGCGTCTCCAGTTTCGGAAGCTTCATCCTGGCCCTGATCACGGCGCGGAGACATCAGCACTGATTTAAGCTCGTATTCGGGAGCAGTCGTCGTTGCGTCGGCCGCGGACGTTGGAGCAGCCGATGTGGATGAAGCTACCGCTGGATCCAAACTGGTCGACCCGATTGTGAACACAGGCGGAAGGTTCTTCATGGGAGTCGCACCTCCCGAAGCCCAAGGATCCCAAAGCGGTTGGTTCGGTGACCGAGGTGACGCAAGTCCAAACTGAGCTGCACGGCTGCTATCCTTTGGCTGAACAGGAGTCAGTGGAGCCTGATCTCGCTGCGTGGGAGGTGGTTGGGCAGAGGGAGATGGCGCTAGAGGAGGCATATCCGGTGTTCCGGGTTCTTTCTCCTCAGCTGGCACAGTCTTCTCGGTGACCGCTTGACTTTCTTCAGCGATGGGAGGGAGCTCATCAACACTGGAGGATGCGTTGACCTTTGCTTTAACTGCCTCCACTTGCTTCAACTTGGCTGCGAGGTCGCGAATAAGCTTTTCCTGCTCCTCCAGCTTCCGTCGTGCCATTTCGCGGTCTCTTTCCACCTCCATCATGGTTCGCTCCAACTCGCTCACCTTCGATAACGATTGAGATAGTTCTTCCTCCGTATGCTGCTTCGTTTTCACCAGCTGCTTACGCAGAGTAGCTTCAGACAATTGCAGCTCTCGCACGTAACCCATAAGGCTGTTGACACTTTGACGTGTGGGCAACAGCTTGGACGCGACCAGTTCGTTACTGCGCAATTGACGGAGCTTGTCGATCGAAAATTGAGGCTGCTTCGTGTTGTTGAACGTCGAAGGGCACGACTGCGGACCGCTCTTTTCTTCATCATACACAGGAGGAATCGTACTAGCAAACACGTTTTCCGAGCTGTTGGTGCGAGACCCAGCGCGGGTGCTCGCGTGCGATGATAACTCCATGCGAACGCGCTGTACGGCACTAATTTCTCCATCAGTATCCTGCGTCGGCTTGCCCATCGGAGTCTTCGGCGGCTGGATGTTCATCGTACTTTCACTTCGAGCCGCCTGTTTCGTCTCCTGCTCTCCACTAGCAGCAGCAGGCGGTGGAGTTCGTTGATGCTGTACCTCTGGCGCTACAAATAGCGACGCTGCTGAAGCAAGGTCTTGTTGTGGTGCTTTTGGAGCTTCATCCTTGGCTGCAACGGACGAGGCCCAGCTCAGTCTCGACACCTGCTCCTGCTCGCTGTGCGCGCCACCAAAGCCGCCTATCGACTCGATCTCACTGCCACTCCAGCTCACATTACTGTCCATGGATGAAGACGGTGGGCGCTTGCGGTGATTGCCGTACAGCGGTGACTGTAGAAAAAACACATATCAGTCTCTTATTTTCAATAAACCCGCCATTAAATCTGCGTTTAAACGTACGTCATGACGTCCTCCGACGCGCCCTGGTTTCCATCCGCGTCTGTTAGCACTCACGCTAGTGTTGACGGGTCCTCGCGCCGCTGGGAACCCGAAAGACTGTGGTGGGTGAGGCTGCTGCGGTGGCGGAGGGGGAGCGGTCAGCTCGGTAGTTTCAGCGACGGGGGGCGCTCCGAAAGCGCCTGGGGGCCCATTCCGACGCGCGAACGGCTGCGGTTGCGCGCCGTTGGCGACGGGGGGCCCGCCAAAGCCTCGCGGCGGCGGCGCCTTCCTCTCCATGGCCTGCACTTCTCGGTTCTGGATAGCGGAATGAAGGTCCAGGCCTTGCCACGTGCACGTTCGGTGACGGTATAGACACGGACACATTGGTTGTCACCAGATAACTAAAGATACAAAATGTATGATGTATGCCACACAAAGGTAGAGGACACTCCCGCCAAAAACATTCGAAACTACCTTCCGCCATGGGTCGATCCAAGCCCAAGCCCATCACGCAGGTGTCCATCGAGGCGTTCGTGGGATCAAGCCCTTGCAAGCGCGTGGCGGAGGATGTGCAGTTCAAAGTACCATTCCTGCCACTGACGGCTCCGGAGGAGCCCACGCCTGCGGCCTTCCGCGAAGACATGCCGCTGTACGAGCACCAGCGCCGCTCACTGCACCGCATGCTGCAGATTGAGGCACGCGACGAGGACGTGGCCAAGTTCAACTTCGGCATGCTCGACTATTTCTCCAAGGGAGGAGCATTGGCGGACGCTATTGGAATGGGTAAAACAGCTACGATGCTGGCGCTGATCGCCGGAGAGCCGAGAGACTACGCTGCCGGTGCCAACTTGCTCATAGCGCCGTCACATTTGCTGGCCCAGTGGAAGCATGAAGTGAGCAAGTTTGTCAAGGACGGAGAGATCGACGTTGTGCTGGGACTGAGGCAGTATATGGAGCTGGTGGAGAACCCCGCGGCCAGAGCGAATATCTCCAATCGCATGCTGGTGCTCGTAGGCGTGGAAGAAGCTGTCAAGTCAAGGAACCACTACTATCAGTACGGGAAGCTCTATCCAATAGAGATTGGTAGCAGAGGAAAACCGCTGCACGTGGACCCCATTGCTCTGCAGGAGTACGAAGAAGCTGCCAAGTTCGTCCACAAGGCCTATTGTGGTCCCCTGTGGGTGACGCTGCTGCATCTGCCGCAGAAGCCGTGGCGACGTGTGATTTTCGAAGAAGTACAAGACTTGGTGCTGCCTGGAAAGAGCGCAAGAGACTGCTTCATTCAGCTCACACACCGGTGCCTGAACGTGTGGCTAATTACTGCGACTCCGTTCCCAGGCAAGGCCGAGTCGATATACGCTAACAACCAACTGCTAGGATTTAAGCGGTTGCGTCTACTGCCGCATGATCCTGCCTTTGACGAGATCAAGCGAAAACTCTATCTGCGCAATTGCGCGCAGGTGAAGCAACAAGCGATCACGGATAAAATCAAGGTGGACGAAACGTACATCCCAGTCAAGCTGCATCCGAAGGAGTTGTTGTTGTACAAAATTGAGTGGGCACTAGCAGAGAAGCAGTCTGAGTACGACTTGTTCGCCCTGGGAGATGTGGATGTAGTGGCTGCTGGTGGCAAAGAGGGTGTAGCCGACAGAGTTGTTCCAGATGACGCATCAAAGACTGGCAAGGATGCTGGCTCGGGAATGCTGTGGTCAGGGGAGTACAAGGCCGCACGACAAACTTGTGTGCACGCAGGCATCTCTGATCGGATACTCGAGCGCGAACGTGGTGGCAAGCAGAACAGTTCTAAGGACACTGCAGCGCCAACGCTGGTCAAAATCAAAAGTCCCAGTGAAGTATTTCGCGATGAGAGTTACCACTTAAACCGGCAGCTAACTGTGGCTACTAAGCGTAAAAAAGAAGTGGATCTGATGGAAGCTGCGACGCGGAACACAGTGGCAATCTGTCGAGCAATTCACTCCAACGCGTACGTCACTGTCAAGGACTGTCTCGACGATATGGAGAGCTCTGGCTTAAGCAGATTCTTCAATGATAACGGAGAGACTGATGCCGGCTTCCGCATGTTGTACAAGCATTATCCGTACGGGGATGAAATGCCAGAGCCGACGGAGCTGCTATTTTACCATCAGGGCGAAATTGCAGACTACATACTGAAACATTTCGGCACAATGGACAAGGTGGAGAAACTCGCCAAGACAATGGAGTCCACGCTCAATGAACGGTGTCCACGTGCCCGCGCGGTCGTTGAAGAGCAGCTCAAGCAGGTAACAGAGTGCGTAGCGCTCATCAACTCGGAAAAGATTCGCGAAGACGAGGCCATCGCGAAGATGCCAGCGTACGGCAGCAAAATATCTGCCCTTGTGCAGTACTTAAGCCGCCTGTCAACGATAAAAGTCGTGGTGTTTACGATGTGGGATCACGCTCTGCGAGTTGTGGATAAGGCGCTTCGTCTTGCCAATGTTTCGAGTGCAGTGTTCCTCCAGCATCAGTCGAGCGAGACGAAGTCTGCTCACGTTGCATCATTCCACAGTGGAGACATCCAGGTCCTCATCTTGAACTCACTCACTAGTGCGTCTGGTATCAACTTGCAGGTGGCATCGCACGTTATTTTCTTAGACCCGGTTGGATTCAGTCCCATGCAGGCCAGTACACTGGAGCAGCAGGCTATTGGTCGTGTGTTACGAATGGGGCAGACGAATGACATCGTGGCTGTTGTCCGGTTCATTGCTGAAGACACGATGGAGGCGACGCTCTACGATGACATCCACGAAGTCACGCAGAAGGCAGTAGCAGCGGACGACTCGTTCTTCGATGGTGAGAAGGAAGACGCGTATGTGTGTGCCGACTTCGCTGCGCCAGTTCGGCGTGTTGTGCGCATGTTTGCCCCCGCCAAAGACGGAGCTCAGGCAGAAGACGAGGAGATTCAGATCGAGGGATCTATGTCAATCGAGGAAGCCATCACGCATCGGATAGAGCAGGCTGAAGCAGAAGGCGAAGTCTTCGATCTCACGGAAGACGCGCCGATGGATCTAGAGCAGCAACTCGCCGCTCTTCGAGAACACGATGGCACACATCAACGCAAGAAACGCCGGACTCGCAGCAATGCGAACAATGCGGTCTCCGCTGTCCCTGTTGTCTTCGATGGGGAAGTCCTAGTCAAGAACGAGCCACAGCGCGCGAGGAGGTGATGAACACCTCAACTTTCGTCTCCATCTTTACATGTTAACGTTAAAGTGCTGATTGCATTCCCCATACAGTTGATACACGCATATACTACTACATGTTGTAGTCGGCTTCGCTCTACCTCTGCAAATAAAGACTCGCTGCAATGTCAAACCTGCAGCAACAGTTCGGGCTTCGATGAATCTCGTTCGCAGCGTCTGTACGCTTTCCCTCTGAAGCCATCTGGCGCGCGGCGAAAAAGATCGGTCGGAGACTGCGACAGCTATGGCAACACCACGAGCGAGACAAGAGCATGGCAAGGCACGGCAACGAAGCATGGTCAAGAAAGAAAAGAAGCGAAAAGGAAGGGGAACAAGCATCCGTTTAATTATCGTTGTGAAGCAGGCGCATCTGTACTGCATCGAATAAGCAGACGCCGTCGTAGCTGGTCACTCAGCAATCAACCAGGCCGCTCGTAGCGAATTGAATTTGCAGCTAGGCCGCTTACAGCTCGCCACAGTTGGCAACGACCACGGGCTTCTTGGTCTGGCCCGATTGCGAGCCCACAGACTCGATGGCCTTGACCACGTCCATGCCTTCCACGACGCGGCCGAAAACGACGTGCTTGCCGTCCAGCCACGAGGTCTCGACCGTGCAGATGAAGAACTGCGAGCCGTTCGTGTTGGGGCCGGCGTTGGCCATGGACAGGATGCCCTCGCCCTTGTGCTTGAGGAGGAAGTTCTCATCCGGGAACTTCTCGCCGTAGATGGACTCACCGCCCGTGCCGTTGCCGCGGGTGAAGTCACCGCCCTGGCACATGAAGTTCGGGATAACACGGTGGAAGGCGCTGCCCTTGTAGTGCAGCGGCTTGCCCGAGCGTCCCACGCCCTTCTCGCCCGTGCACAGAGCGCGGAAGTTCTCAGCCGTCTTAGGCACCTTGTCGGCGAACAGCTCGAACGTGATGCGGCCAGCGGGGGCACCGCCAACGGTCATGTCGAAAAATACCTGCGGGTTCGGCATCTTGATGTTAGAATCTCTTTGGGTCTTGCTTGCGACGTGGGGAATACGCGAGTGGCTCCGCTGGTTGGTATCCTTATGAGGGGGAGGCACGTACGTAAGTGAAAAACCTCTTGTCAAATGTAAGAGACAAAAAACCTCGCAAAAGATACCGAGACTTTGGAAATTGATGACTGTTTTCGAGGGGAGATGCATTATCACAGGATAGCCAGCCTCATCTGACGACTTCAACTTGATCCCCACTACGCAGCCACACGGTCTCAACAGCAGTCGGAGGTGTTGCGGTAAGGAACTGGCCGAAGTAGATGCTGCTGCGCTGCCGCCTATAGCTGGATAACACCTGGAGAGGCTGTCGGCGGAACGTGCCTGTGTGCGGGTCGAGATTGATGACGCTACAGCGGCTGCATGGGCCCGAGACGTCGAAGCTGCTGCTGCCAATGCGAATGTGCTTCCACTTGTCCTCCTCGAAGGACTCGGCGCATCCGTCCACGATGAGGTTGGCACGAAAAGCGTCCTCACTGATGCTCATGGACGTGTCGACGGATCCGAGTACCGCGTTGAAATGCATGATGCTCTGGCGCGAGATGAGAAGATACTGGGCCTGGTTAGCAAACCCGATGGACGCAGGACGGGAGTCATTGTTGGAAACTTCGGGGCCCTGAATATCAGACTGTTGCTTTGTAGTGCTATGCGTCTTGGGTCGATGTGCTTGAGACGGTCGGAGGTGGTTGCTGGACACTCGAACGAGCGCGCATTGCCGACCTAGACACGAACTTAGCCATCGAGAAACGTCTGCGCCGACATCTTGCCCCTTGCAGCTGTCAGTGCAAACACGCATGCTACGTGGATTGCCTTCATCTTGGTGCTTTGTCATGGAGATATCAGCGCGTAGAGGTATAGTGAATGGTGGCGATGGAGGAGATTCAGAAGACGACGGCATCGTTGTGGGTAGTTGGAACTCAGAGCTGTCCGGTTTGCGATAGGATATCGTCAGCGTCTCGCGTCCAAGATCGATAATGGGGTGCAAGAAGCACAGTTCTGGAAGTGTCTTCAGTGTCAAAGCAGTACCCGTGGACACATCCACGATCGCGAATTCTCGGTCGAATAGTAGGCCCCTCGTTCCAACAGGCCACGCGTTGAGGACCATCCCCGCGCAAGACTTGATCGGGAATAGTGTGATCTTGGAGAGATGGGGAACTCTAGGTAGAGACGATGAGAAGATTGGCGAAGACGGCGTTATAGTATTGGCCACCTCAGTTGGTGCCGTCCTGCAAACAAAGTATTTGAAGGTGAACTCCACAAACGCTTCAATGTCTTCAAACGTCGTCATATATCCCAGAGACAAGCGAACGGCACCAGTAGGCAGACCATTTATCAAATCAATGTCGTCTCCACAGACATGACCAGCAGCAATATTCGACACCAAGTCCGACTCCTTCAGACCGAGGTAATACTGACACGCGCCGGGATTGCAGAAGCATCCTGTCCGCAAGTGAATATTGTGAATCTCTGCGAGTTTGTGGACTTCGCTGTATCCGACGTAGCTGCCGTCTGCGCGTAGGTAATTGCACGCAACGATCGGACCTTGCTGTTCTGAATGTGTCTTACCACTACTATTGCCATAAATCTCGCAAACTGGGCGTCCATTCCAATGCTTAAGACCTATGAGCTTGTCGACAAGCAGCGTTCGTAATGCAGCTGTGTGAGCTGAAATGCTCGCCATGCCAAGTTTTCCGACTTGCTCGATACCGTGGCGCAGAGCAAGAATCGACAGGAACGACTGCGTACCATCAGCAAAACGAGCGCTTGCATCGCCGCTGCCGTCCAATCCACGTGGAATGGCATAGTTTCGACCTGCCAAAATGCTCTGGATCGTGCCTCCACCTTGGTATTCCCTTTTCAACGACGATAGTGCAGCTTTTCGGACGATCAAGGCGCCCAACCCCGTTGGATAGCCAAATATCTTGTAGAATGAGAGCACCACGAAGTCCGGATGGTACGTTGAGAGATCGAGTCGATGCGTTCCCACGTACTTGGCTGCATCGACCAACACGAGCCATTTCTTCATCGATACGCTTTCGGTTGAAGGGTTCCAACACCCAGCTCGAATTTGGTCCACAAGGCAAAGAGAATGCCGCACTCCGCTAAAGTTGCACTCCGCAGGAAAGGCAAACAGACTCATGGGAGTAGTCTCAGTAAAACAGCAAGTAGATTCAGCGGAGACTTGCTCATCTCTCTCTATTTCCTCAAGCTCGCTCAGCTCAACACACTGTATCGACGATCCTTTTGCTGCAGCATACCCTCGAATTCCAAGCACACTGGTGTGTGAGTCCATGGAGTAAGCGAACGTGCTCTCCTTTGTCCATGGAAAACTCTCACCGACCAGTTTCAGCGCCGCCGTCGCTCCCGATGTAAAGATCAATGTGTACTTTTCCTCACTCGCCGAGAAAAATGCCAACACTCGGCGCCGTACGCTCTCAATTTTCGCAGTTGTCGACCCTACTTGGGCGCCGCCAATTGCGCTGTGCGGGTTAGTAAACAATCCGCCTTGGAGCTCCTGGAATGTTGCGTCCAGCTGCGTCTGCGAATATATTGTTGCGCCCGCGTGGTCCAAGTACACGCTTCCCTGCATGTGGCGGAACTCGTTCTTACGCATCTCGTCGATCCGTAACGTCGCTCCCCCGCCGTATCCGTACGCGCCGTCGTTATCCGCCACGAACGCCGCCTTGGACGCATTCATGGATGCAGTGGTTTTAGTCTCTCCGGCGGTCTGTGCAGAGACAACAGCAGAAGTTGGGGCCATTGTGGTAGAAAGAGAAATGGGGTGACAGACGCCGATTCGCACTGAATGCGAGTTTAACAGATGCCCATCTCTGTCACATAAACTTCAACGAGGACACTCCCACAACGTGTCCAGCGACAACTGGTCCTGATGGATAAATGAGCTTGCATGGACTTTATTATTCGGTGCTTACTCGGGAGTTGGTGCCGGTCTTCCCATCCGATAGACCTTCACAGGCTGAATCGAAGGCCGTGAGAGCTGGATGGTCCTGAGCTTTTCACTAAGTTCGTCCTCCTCAATGATTTCTCGCTCCGGTCCTGAACTCGAATGTGTCGAGTGCGTTGGGGTCTGTTTTTCCCCGCTGGGGCTGGAAGTTGGTGATGCAAGCATTGTAGAAACCGGCTTGGCTGGTACGAGAGTGCTAGGACTGGATGGAGCGCCATCAGCAGCGAGAGTCAAAGCCGGAGGCGCATTATCGCTGACGCAGCTTGAAGGAAGCAGTTTGAGAGCATCCTGCTCTACCTCTTTATCTACCATACTCTTGAAGAGCTGCTCGGCTCGAGCGTCCACCACGCTGCGATCAACCTCTCCACGAATGGAGAAATTCGTAGCCTCTGCATTCTTGGCATAGAAGTTATGCATCACCTGGCGCACCATTTCCAACTCGCCGTTCAGCATGGTATCCCGCTCGCTCTCGTATTTGGCAAATACTCGATACAGATCAAAGGTCACGGTCTGCAGCGCCATTCGAGCCTTTTGCAGCTTCTGTTCGTTGCGTTCCAACCGCTGCGGAGCCGTTCCAGCATCTTTTCGTTTCCGCAGCCTGCTGAGTTTTTGTTCGTACCGGTCGAACTCGAGCTTGACATTCTTACGATGGGAGATCTGCGACTGGACCGACTTCATTGCGTTGATGTGGATATCCAGGAAGCGCACTGCTCCTGACAACACTGCATCCTGCACAGCGGTAACAAATTTTCAATTAGTCTGTGTCGTTCCTCCTTAACTCAGCGCACGTACAACGCACCGCATTGAAGAAGTGGTTCTTGGCCTCCTTAGTCTCGTTAATAGCGCACATGGCATGTCGAAACTTCTCTGCGTCGGCTCCCTTGCCGACAGCATCCACACTCACAACACACCACACGTCCGCGCCGAGACTGGCACATGAAGAGCAGTACACGGGGAGAGCCGTCGTGCGGTAGTGTTCCAAACTCTTGCGAATGTCCAGTAGCTTCTGCAGCAGCCCCAGGAATCGCTGCTCGTGCTGTTCGTACACATCGTCAGGGGACGCCAGTTGCTGATTAATTCACACACCACTATAAGCGTCAGTGTTCACTTCTGTCAGTGCTTTGCAAATGGCTTCACGCACCTTGTGCACACGACACATGATCTGATACTGCAGCTTGCGCTTGTGCTGCAGCCACACCATTCGGCGGCGCTGCAGCATAACGCCAACTCCACGAGACTTGTCCGAACTCATCCCCCGTCCGCTTCCTCTCCGTCCGCTGCTGCGCCTCGAATGAAACGTGGATCTTTCGGTAGCTGCATATTAATACCCACCACTTGCCCACGTCCTCAACTCGTCATAAGACGAGAGCCAAAAATGGCTTCAACTTGACCTTGCCATATTTTTAAAATGACGCGCGAAATTTTGAATTGCACCTACAACACACCATTTCTCCTAAAACACATCTATAAATCATTTCATTTCATTATTTCTCCTAACAAATGTCCAACTGCGTCTTAGGAAAAATACAATTGCATATTGTTGTCTGGTCGTTAGGCGTAAGTTCGAGCCGAGCCAGCAGAAACGGCATGGCAACCGAAGCCCATGATGCGAACCGCAAGCGTAAGCGACAGCGCCGCAAGAATCGCAAAAGCAAACAGCAGTCGCCGCAACAGGGGCACTACGCTGATCCGCTCTCGCCCATCGCCTCCACACCCATGAAGCGCCAGCACACCCAGGCGGCAGGTACATAAGAAGCTCCAATAACAATCCTACTGCACTTAACTCAGCTATCCCTTATCACGCAGAGACCAGCAAGTCCACCAAGGCCACACATGCGTCACCGTTCGATATGTGCGATGGGAACGCTCCCGGGTCTAAAGAAGAGGAACAGTTCTTTTCGCCTCGGAAGTTGTTGGAGGAATACGACCAAAATGATAAGGACGAGAAGAAGCCGAGGGCAAAGAAGGCGCGTACTCTCAATTATGACTCGGCATCGTCCCCTAATGGCAAACAAGATGAGAAGGAGGAGGAAAGTGCGGACACCAGTGCCAATGAAGAAGCCAACGACGAGCTGTTCTCGCCGGCATTGAAGTTACCAAGAGTATCGCGGTCGACTAGTACGTCTCCTCCCAATGCTCGAACAAGACTGGAGTCAAAGTTTGCACACACGACACAGCCTGAGGAGAAAATAGAGGAGGAAGCTGCAGAAGAGGAGGAGTCGGTTGAAACAGAGGAGCAGGACGATGAAGACACCACAGCTCCCGAACAGGAGTTCAACCCGTACGAGTTGCAACTGTACCTTATCGATACTGACTGACATGCTCTCGATATTGCAGGTTCTACTTCATGAAGACTCTGCCGAAGTACGAGGATATTGTGGAGGGTAAACGACCCATTTCACTGCCAGAGAAGTCACGCAACGCGCCCAAAATCTGCCTGGTGTTGGACTTGGACGAGACCCTCGTGCATTGTAGCGTGGATGAAGTGAAAAACCCACACATGCAGTTCCCGGTTCGTTCAGTCTGCTACTGTTGGTGCTTGTGGACTCTAGGCTGACTCATCGTGTTGCTCGCCGAGCAGGTCACATTCAACGGCGTAGAGTACATAGTCAACGTGAAGAAGCGCCCGCACATGGAATACTTCCTCAAGCGCGTGTCCAAGCTCTTTGAGATCGTGGTGTTCACCGCATCCCACAAGGTGTACGCCGAGAAACTCATGAACATGCTGGACCCGCACCGCAATCTCATCAAGTACGTAGATGACAATTAATGCTATTTGGTAGCAGTGACTCACATGCTCGCTGCTCTGCAGGTACCGACTGTACCGAGACGACTGTCTTGACGTTTTCGGCAACTATCTAAAGGACCTCAATGTCCTCGGGCGTGACTTGTCGAAGGTCTTGCTGGTGGACAACTCACCGCACGCGTTCGGGTATCAGGTGAACAACGGCATCCCCATCGAGACATGGTATGACGACGAAGCGGACGCCGAGCTGCTGAATCTGCTGCCATTCCTAGAAAGCCTCGTAGACGTGGATGATGTGAGGCCGATCGTGGAGAAGCAGTTCCAGATCCAAAAGCTCATCGATGCCACACCCGACGAGATCGTCTAAATTCTACAATAGTGAACACCATCCCCAAAAGATGGCGTGGTAATGCTACAACGCGTTCAACCACAACGTTCAACTTTGAGTACCATGCTGTCCTATGAGTGGTCGAAATAGCGTTGGACACGCCTTTTGATTGGATCAATCCAAATCCTTAAGAAACTTGACACTTTTCAGGAAGACACCAGAGTCGAACATGGCGTCTTCCTACACCTTCGGGAATTTGCCGCAGCCACCGTCCTCGTCCAGCGTGCGCTTCTTTGATACTTGTACCCACTCCCTTTAATGTATAGCTCTTCATCTCCGTTTTGTAATTCTCTCACCACTACGCAGGCGCCTTACTTGGCACCCCCACCGCCGCAACAAATCCGAGTACGTGTCCACGCGAGATGTCTGCATTGTCGCCTCGTAAACCTCCTATTTTCTTCTAATTACTGGTATATACGCTTTTGACGACAGGAAATCAAGCTCTGGGCTGACACGAAAGATCGACGCAAGTACGAGGACCTGGCAGACCTGTTCGCCATTTTCAAGACCACGGAGCATTTGGAAGCTGCCTACGTTCGCGATGCCATCACACCTGAGGAGGTTGAGAGCTTCAAAGTTAGGACTTTGGGTACTGTGTAATGAATCTGACTGTGGTGCAATGGGTTGCAGTACACGGAGGCATGCACGAAGCTCATCTCGCAATACAAAACGGCGGAGACTGCTCTGCGCCTCGGCGGCTTCATCGACAGCGTGGAGAGCTTCATCGCCGAGTACAGACTGGACTGCCCACGTGCGTTAGAGCGTCTCGTGCGCATTGGTGTGCCTGCTACGGTGGTGCACAACACGACCAACCGCAAGACTGATTCGGTCAACGTGGCGCAGACCGTGCAGAACTTCATCACGCTCATGGATGTGCTCAAGCTCAATATCCGAGCTGTGGACGAGATCCAGCCGCTGCTGAGCGAGATGATGAGCTCTTTGACTATGGTTAGTGGTTTGCCACCTGACTTCGCTGGTCGTGACAAGATCGAGGGCTGGCTACGTACGATGAACTCAATGCGCGCCTCAGAAGAACTGGATGAAGAACAAGCACGTCAACTCAGCTTCGACCTCGAGCGTGCCTATTCGTCCTTCATGGCCTTCCTGAACAAATAATGGGGTATCGATAGTGGTGGAATGGGCTCAGAGACCTTGGAAAATTTTTATTGTGTCGTTTACTTCTCCATTTTTCTTTGTTTTTCCTGTTTTCTCTCTTATAAAAAAGCCAAACAAAATATGACGCACACACTCGCATCAAAACCGAAGATACTGAAAACCTCGTAGTGCGTGCATCATAGTGATCCCATGCCTAAAATATTAGCAGCAAAAGATTGGTTCTTCTCCCCCATCCGGCTCCAACCCCAGCGTTGATGCATTGGATGTCGCTTCCTTGTCGTCATCTCCATTCAACAGCGAAGTGCAGCGAGCCATAGCGGCGTCAAGCTCCGACTGCATCGCATCCAATTCGTCCATCATCGAGCGCAGATCAGCGTTGTCCACCTGTTTGAGACGCAGAGAATTTAGTGAGATTAACTTCTTCTCAGGCTTGGAGATCGGCTCCAGCTCAATGTCCATAAGGAAGTTTGGCTCCAGAACGTCAGCAGCAGGCAGTGGCGTCGGTTCCTGCGGTGTCATTGCCGGTGACAAAGGTGGGAATGCCTCTATCGAGAGAGCAAAGTCTTCCGGATCGTGTTCGAGCTCCAGTTCCTGTTTTTGTTCAAGTTCTTGCTCCAATTCCTGCTCTTCCAGATCCAACTCCGCCTCGACTTTCGGGTTCGAGTAAAAAAGCACTCTGCGAGTCACAACTAGCTCCCGTTCCATTGCTGGCTCACCGCGCGCCACTTCCACCAAAGGCTTAACTGCCGGGAAAACCGGCAATGGAGCCACAACCGGAGCAACCGGTTCGACGTCGTCAGTTGCAGTAGGATGAGCAACCTCAGTTGGCTTGGGCTTCGGTAGTTCCACAGGTTCTGCCTTGGGCAACACTGGAATAACAGCTTTCGGTTCAGCCTTGGGAAGCACCTCCTTCTCGGCTGCAACCTTGGGATCCTTCGGCTCGGATTTTTTCAGCGGTCGAGGCTTCTGAGTCTTTATCTCCGGTTTCTCCAACGTCTTCGGTAGCACTGACACTGTCTTCTCCTGCATTTTCTTCTTCTTCTCCTGCACCGGTGCTTGTTTCTCCATTCTCGGCTTCAGCGGCAGTAGTGGTCGACTCCGCAGCACCTGCTTCGGCTCCGAATTCGCTCGAGGTTTCTCCATGAACAGATCGTCAGCGGCTTCCGAAATGATCGTCGGCACAGACTTCATGTCCACGCGGTTCAACGTCGCAAGTGGGGCATTGCTCGCGAGAGGCGTCGGCTTCCTCTTCTGCTTGGCCTTCACAGTCTCTTCCGGTTTCAGTGCCATTGCCGCCACCACCTTCTGTGGCGTGGGACTTGACGGCACTACTGCGATCTGTAGCTCTTTCTTCTGCGTCTGATACTCCTTACTCTGTGCGATCGACAGCGTCAGCGAGTAGTCCAACGCACTGCGGCGCAGAGCCATAAGCCGGCTGATTGCCTGCTTGAGTCCCAGTCCTTGCTTGGTGCCCTTCGGGTCGCTATGGTGCAGTAATGCAAGGCCCAGCGCCCCCAGCAGCACGAAGCAGAAGAGCAACGCACCACCGAACACATAACCGCCGAGAACCATGGCCACCAAAAGCTGCACCACCCCCACAGCCGTCACGAGACCGCCTACATGGAATGTCGGGGCCTCGCAGTACACATCGTCTGTGAGCGCATACGGGTCGCGCTGCTGCTGCTTAAGGCGGCGCTGCGTTTTGGTACTCGCACGCTGTCGCATCGGCAATGAATTACTTCGAGTGAGTCGGTTCCTGTCTTGGCAGTTGCTGTCCCTGCGAGAGTTGAGTTGTAAATACTAGCAATGAGCGGCCCACGTTAACTAACGCTAAGTGGACGTCACTGACTAGTAGGAAAGCGCTGCGATAGTCGAGCGAGCGCCTAACGAAGTGCTTTCCGATTGCTTTTTGCCGAAGTTCGCTTCGAGTCTTCCGGCCCAAATCCCCCACTGAACGAATTGTGCCAAGAGCTATCGTCGGTCGTTGCATGAGCCATTTCTTTCACGAAATGGCCAGTCTCTGTGCTCATCAATACCCTTATTATGCAACCGCGGCCGTACATGATAAGTTATCGGGGGCAATATTAATGCGATTAGAAAAGTATTGCTGTCCTGGATCCTTGGGAATGAAAGTGCTTCAGATAGATAAGAAATCAAATTTAAGAACCGAGCTTTGACTCTCAGGTTCCTAACATTTATACGTTGATACAACCACGAGTCGCGACGCACGGCGGACGTCAGACCACGGTATCGTAGCAGAGATTCTCTGTCGCTGCGGATCGATGTACTTAAGAAGCTGTTGTTCCTCCTCGTCACCGAAACTTTACCCGAGTGAGTCTTAACTTTTAGCAATAGAACTAATGTTGCTGTCGGTGGGGATCGCCCAAAACGTATCTACATGTGCATCGTTGCGGGTTTGGCTCGTTAAAGCTTCTTCGAGCAGCGAATGCTCGTTTTTCAGTTGTCTTTCTTCTATCAATTATACAATATGCAAGGTTTTATACCCTCTTTCGACAATCGGGGTGTCTCGGCCGTCTTTCTGTTCCTTTATAGAAACCACCAGCGACAATGTAGCGCTTTGGACGACGTTGGGGTGGACTGACAAACCTTTGCTAGCCTCGAGAAGGCGAAGATGCTGCCATGGCAGAGTACAGTCGTGGAGAAGGATTGAGAAGCAACCCCACGTATGTGGAAACGGCACAAATTTGTGCCAGCTTTGCAGTCATAACGGTCGCTGTGATTATGCTGAAGCATCAAAGGAGTCAGAATGAGACTCGTCTCTTACCGACAGCACTAATTGCACTGCAAGGTGACACTTGCAACGCAGCGACGCGGGACGATCGCCATCACTTCGCCTGGGCTGCTGCCGATGCTATAGGGGCTCGTTTACGCCTCGCAGGAGATTGACCGTCGCGACTGGAGTCAACCAACAGCAGTCGTGACGGCAAGTTCCACCCTGAAAATCCATTTTCGAGCTTCCCTCTCCGTGTGGGGGGAGCAGGCAGTCCTACTAAAAGAATTCCTGCGCACGATGTTTCGGCCGCCAGCGCCAACGGGCAGCTTACGCCGCGATGGGATTTCTCACTGCTCGCCATACGTTAGCACCACCCGCCACGGAGCGGAGCCGCTGTCGCCACAATGCGAGCCCCAAAATCCAGATTAGTAACAGAGGGTGTATGGCTTGTGAAGACATCTCCGTTGTCGCCAAAAACCTACGGACCGCGAAGCGCTGTTTAACTTGCAGAGCTCTCGAGTTGCTCTTTCAATTCTGTTGCGGTTGCAGTTATTATTGTGCCAACTATTGTAAAACCAGCTATTGGATCATATTGAGGTCGATGCACCGAAAAGTTATGACTATGTGCAAATGCTCCAGTTATTATTATTGTGAAACCTCTTCGATTGTCCGACGATTTGCACGCGTAAAACAGGGCATAAATCTAAAATAGAGGGACTTAAACGGACATATAATTGTGGTAAAACGTCGAATAATTTGAATTGTGTAAGCTAATTCATAGATGCCCTCGATGGAAAAGCTGAAGCTAATGCAAGCCCTCAATTGTCTCCTGCGGGCAAGCACAGCTTGGATGCATCGATATCCTGCTACCAAGGAGTCATCCAAAGTAATTTCACAACAGTAATTGACCGGTTTGCCTCCGCAACTTCATCAATCTCTATGGAAATGCATGCACGAGGGGTCTCTGTTTTAGACACGTCGTCGTTTTTGCGATGACCTGGTCTTGGAATGTCGAGGAGGCATCGGACATTCAGACCGACTTAGAGATAAATCGGCCGTTCAGATGGATTTGTAAATCAAATCACCCGAACACACCAGTGTTTAAATAGCCTCGGGAATCTGAGGTGGCGTCTCTAAATACTTGCCACCTGGTCTGATTTATAAATAAAACCGAGCTTCATAGTCTAATTAAGCCTCTAAATGGTCCGGTTTGTAATCGGATTAGACATTCGAAGCGGTTTTCACAATAATATCTAGAGGCCTAAAAGCGACTTTATAGGTCTATGCTAAATTCGCTTGCGGAAAGCTCATCGCGCAGTTGGGTCCGCGATCGGGATCACGTTGCCTGGGAACTAGTGTTTTAAAAAAAAAAATTTTAAAAGAAAGAAGGGTGGGTAGTAGCTCATGTAGGGGTCGGTGGGTGAATTGCAATGGATTTTATCATTGCAATGGATTTTATCAATACAATTTTTAAGTTGGAGGCAATGTTGCTTTACAGTGCTATCCATAAATTTGTGCGGACCACTATTTTGCAAATAATTAGGTCAATTTGAAGCAGATAATACCAAAACTGCGTAGAATTGCTATTTAAACGAAGAGCTATCGGAGCATACAATTTTTTGGCAAGGCGATCCGTGGTTGTATAGATACAGGAGTGACCATCACTCTGACACTGGCCAGAAGTTTGTGCGCGCGCAAATTTCCCGCCAATACTCTTGTTCTACTGCGTTCTAGAAGCTTGCAATACCTTTGAAATACACCCCAGCGTCTCAGCTGTCGTTGGCAATGCATCTGACAGTTTAAGATTTGCTACGAGACCAGTAAAACATGCGCAAAGGCGCCGAGTTTACTAACGTCGAAAAGGGGACAATCCTTGGCCGTCGAGAAGCTGGATGGACATTTGTTGCGATTGGCAAGCATCTGGGACGGTCGCAACGAGTGTAGGCAAGTTCATGAAGAACACGGAGCGCCATGGGAAGGCTAAGCGGACTGGGAGACCGAGCAAGGTGTCAGCAAGGACACAACGACAGATAATTTTGGAGGCAAAAAGGGTGGAGGATCGTCGAGTGGAGTGAAAGCTGCTCTAGGATTGAATGTATCGGTACGTACTGTGCGACGTGTACTTCAAAACGCTCCCTTCATGAGCTTCGTGAAGCGCACACGTACTCCTATGCTGAAGGCAAGTCATAAGTTAGCTCGACGAAAGTGGGCAAAGGCCATGATCCGTGCATGTACCGATTGGGACCGCGTGATCTTCTCAGACGAGAAGAAGTCTAATCTTGACGGTCCTGACGGCATGCAATACTATTGGCACGACCTACGAACCGAGAAAGATGTGGTGTAGCGATTTCTAAGTAATCGCCGAAGTGGCTACATTCAAGTTGCTCAAGCCACGAAC